GGGAGGAAGGCAGCACTGGCTCTCAGCTCAGAAGGGGCTGTGCCCCCGCCAGCCTGTGGCATCTGCCTGCACCCCCATGCTTCACTTTTGTCTTCAGCAGACCCCACCTACCCCAGCAGGAAAAGTCTAGGAAGATGACTGGGGTTGGTCAGTTGGGGCCTGAGTAGTCCCTTTGCTAGGCACTAGCATGTGGCCTTGGATAAGTCCAGTCTGCTCTCTAAGCCTCAGTTTCTTTCTGTGTAATGTGAGCTGCTCCTATCTGAAAGGTTTGTTGGGCGAATGTTTGCAGGTCATGAGTATGAAGCCACCAGCACAGTGCTAGACTGTGGTCAGGACTCAGTATTGCTGGCCTGTATCTTCACGGTGAGCCCAGGCCAGACCACACGTCAGCTCCTCACAAAGCCCGGCAGAGGGTGCCCAGGGAATTCTTGTCATACCCAGAGCTCACTGACCCAGGGAACCACTTCTTGCTGCCCCCTTCCCTTGAGTTCTCAAAAGCAGGCCATGGCCATGATCACAGGCCGAGGAGCCAGGCCACCAGGGGCCATCCTGGCTCTGCCTCCTCCATGGGAGCACTTTCTCCTTTGCAAAGCCGGGAGCAGTTGGACACCTGCCGGCAATGTGCAGTCCCTGAGCAAGTCAGGGAGAGGCCCAGGTCCCAGGCGAAGATCAGTGCCCTCTCGCGCCTCAGCTGCTGGAACCCTCCTGTCCCCGCTTCCTCAGGTACTGGACCTAAAGCAGGTCAGGCTGGAAGACCAGCTCTGTGTTTCAGATGTCACTTGGAGTTGTAAAGCTTTTCTTAAAGCTGAGACAGTCCCCGTTAGGGCACTGAACTGTTTTACGTTATTCGCTTCCTGATTACGGAAGTGTCCCGCCCTATAGTAAGCAGTGGTAGCAGGTACAGCAGAAAATCTTCCCCATGACCCTTCTCATGAAGAGGTTTCTAAAAGCCAGTGGCCCCCTTCTCCCTGAGTAAAGAGGGTGTGATAACTTCCAGAAGCATTTCTTGCCCTTTGAGGATTTGTGGCACTGGGTGGTCACGGCACAAGCTGATTCCCACTGCGGAGATGTGGCTGCTTCAGGAACTGGAGGACCCCGCACTGCACCCAGAATGGGCTCTGGCAACGGTTCGCTTTGCTTTGCTGTCATTTCCTTCTTTTTTGTTGTGTTTCCATTCGTCTCTTTTCCTCAAAGCTGCACACAGCCCGCACTTCTGTTGACTGATGTCTGGTTACAGAGGGGCCTGTCTGCAATGGATCTGGCTTCCTGGCTGTCAGCCTTCAGGTGCCCTGAAAGCTGGCGAAGGTGTCTGAGTCAGTGTGGGGATGAGCAGGAGTTCAGAGCTTTACTGCGGTGCTGCGGTCGCTTCTGGGGAGGTTTGAGGCAGGCTCAGCCCAGCTCTTCGCTTTGGTATCCTCATCATCAGGTAGAAAGTCTGGGCTGGATCCAGGCACGGTGGTGGACACCTGTAATCCCAGCACTTTGGGAGGTCAAGGCAGGAGGATTACTTGAGCTCAGGAGTTCAGGACCAGCTTAGGCAACATAGTAAGACCCCATCTCTAAAAAAAAAAAATTAGCCAGGCATGGTGGTGCATGCCTATGGTCCCAGCTACTTAGGAGGCGGAGGCAGGAAGATCACTGGAGCCCAGGAGGTTCAGGTTGCAGTGAGCCATCATCATTCCACTGTACTCTACTTAAAAAAAAATCCAGGAAGGCGGCTGCCTCTCTCTGCCTTTATACAACAGCAGATGTTAGATTTGGTCCCAGAGCAACTGTGGGAACTGTGTGGTGACTCTCAGATTTTGGGGGTGACTCGGCTAGCCTCAAACCTGGAGTCGTGCCAGCAAGGGGTGTGCACTGCAGCTGGAGCAGAGTAGGGGCTTCCAGCCTGGCCTCAGGGCTCTCGTCACCTGGGCTCGCTGGAGCTTAAGGCTGGCGGTGTCCTCTGTGGGACAGAGTTTATGTCACCAAGCACAGGTTCTGGGGAGACTCCCATGGTCAGCAGTCGCCACACGGAGTGGGAGCCAGCAGGTCAGCAGGGGTCTGCATGAACTGGCCCAAGTCACTTAGCTTTTCCAAGTGTAAAGTAGTGCCCACCACAACAGAGCGAAAGTCCAGAAAGAGGCCAAGAAATACCCAGGGATTTCGAACACCATCAAGGCCATTCCAGATTGGGAAAAAGATCACTCACCAAGAAATGGACAGCTTGCTGCCAGGGAAAAAATGAGGCTGGATCTTGACTTTACACCTTACATCAAAAGAATTTCCAGATGGGGGCTGGGTACAGTGGCTTATGCCTATAATCCCAGCACTTTGGGAGGCCAAGGCAGGCAAATCATGAGATCAGGAGATGGAGACCATCCTGGCTAACACGGTGAAACCCCGTCTCTACTAAAAATATAAAAACGTAGCCAAGCATAGTGGCATGTGCCTGTAGTCCCAGTTACTTGGGAGGCAGAGGCAGGAAAATTTCTTGAACCCAGGAGGCGAAGGTTGCAGTGAGCCGAGAGCTCACCACTGCACTCCAGTCTGGGTGACAGAGCAAGACTCCGTTTCCAAAAAGAAAAAAAAAAAAAATGAATTTCCAGAGGGATTACAGATTTAACTGTAAAAAAGGAAACTTAAATTATAGGAAAAAATATATATAAAAGAATGTAAAACATAATCTTGAAAAGGCAAGATCTTTTTAAGCCTGACAGAACTGAGAAGCTCTACAAGAAAACTTGGGTACACTCAGTTACAAAACATAAATTTCTCATGAGCAAATCCAGCATAAAAGCCAAAAGATAAATAGCAAACTAGAAAACAATTATCTAACTCATTTCTTAGATAAAAGGTTGACTTATCCGTTGTATGTACACACACACACTTGCACACACAATGTTGTTTTGTTTGGAGACAGGGTCTCACTCTGTCGCCCAGGCTGGATGGAGTGCGGTGGTGTGACTACAGCTCACTGTAGCCTTGACCTTCCGGGCTCAAGTGATCCTCCCACCTCAGCCTCCCGAGTAGCTGAGACCACAGGTACACACCACCATTCCTGGCTAATCTTTTGATTTTTGTAGAAACAGAGTCTCACTACGTTGTCAAGCTGGTCTCACACTCCTGGGCTCAAGTGATCCTCCCACCTCACCTCGGCCTCCAAAAGTGTTGGGGTTACAGGCGTGCACCATTGCACTGGGCCAACTTTCTTATGTAAAGAACTCCTACATATCTATGCAGAAAAGACTGACAACCTCATAGAAAAACTGTCCAAGTCTATAAGCAAGTTAACTCCTGGAAAAGGAGCTCTGGGTGTCCCAAGTGTGCAGCAGCAGAGCCATGTGGACAAGCACGTCAGGGCTGAATCTGGCTCCAGATGCACTCACCATGTGACCGTGGCAAGTCACCAGAGCTCTGTGGGCCTTAGCTTCCTCAGCTGTAGGGTGGGAATAACAGTTCACCTATGACTCAATGGCTTGGGCAGCTCCAGCATGGAGTAGGGGAGGGAGTGCTTTGGAAATGCTCGATAGACAAAACCTGGAAAGATGCTCAGCCTCACCTCTGGATGAGTGATCCTACTCCGATAAGAAATGTGCAAATAGAAACTGCATTGATGGACTCTTGCCCCACTGTGTTCTGACGGTGTGGGGGATCTAGCACTGGCATCACTAAGAGGAGCAGAAAGAGCTGTTACTGTTAAATGCACACACCCTTCAAGCCAGCAGAAGCCCTTCCTCCTAACAGGCCTAGATATGCCACACAAGGGGGCGGGTTCATGCAGCCCCATGTGCAGTAGCTGAAGTTGAAGCAAATGTCCTTCAGCGGGGAACTGGCTGAATAAATGATAGCATATTCCTAACCTAGATGATGCATCTTGTCCAAAGGAGGCGGGCCCATGTGTGCTGCTGCGGAACAGCCTCCTGTGTATATTCAGTGATAAGAACAGGCACCGAGTGTGTGTGAGAATGGCATTTGTGTGAAAATGCAATGTGCAGGCTCATGCCTGTCTGTGCCCAGCAGGCTCTGGGAACACCCAGGAAGTGGCAGCAGCTACAACTGTGAGGGGCTCCATGGCTGAGGGATGGGCAGGACCTGCGACTTTTGGATCATAGGCCATACATAGTGTGTATTTTAAAATTAAATCTGCTCAAACTATCTTGTGACTGTTATGAGTAATTAGAGACATCCTCGCAGGGGCCAAGAGCATGGAGGAAAGAGTCAGGCTGCCTGGCTCCACCACTAGATATGTGGTGTTAAGAAATGTCTGACCTCCGTGTGCCTCAGTTTCCTCATCTGTTAAAACAGATCAACGGGATTAACAGACCCTAACATGCAGGTCGTGAGCATGGAGTGAAAGCATCAGAGTGCCAGCCTCCAGCCTCACATCCGCTTGTCCCTCTTAGTGCTGTGGTGGGCGCTCCCTGCACCTCTCCACCCTCAGCTGCTCCATTGAGGCCAGTGGAGGTTGCAGGGAGCAGCACAAACTGGACTCAGCTCTGACCCACCTTCTCTCTGGGACAAGGACACTCTTCTCTGACAGTCTTCCCCCTTGAAGGCTCCTTTCCTCCTTGGGGTGAGGCTGGCTCCTCAGGTACCCACCTCTGTCACTAGCTACCCTCCTGAGGTGGTTGTTGCAGCCTCAGAATGATAAAAACCTGTCTAAGAGGAACCTTGGGATGAGCCCACCAGTTCTTTATCTTGGATACATGGAACCTGCTCCTCAGAAAAATACACACACACACTCAGGGGACTGGGGCTCGACGTGGGGCCCGGGCAGGTAGCGCCCCCACCCTTGTGTACCCTGGCCAGCCTCAGCACCCTACATATTCTGTGCATATTCTGGAGCCCCCAGCTCCTCTGGGAGCTGCCTGGGTGACCATGGGCCATCTGGGCAGATTTGTCCCCACGCCCTCTTGGTACCTGCAGTGAAAGAGAATTTGGTGCGGGGCCCTGAAAGGCCTGAGGACCACCATCCATCCATCCAAGAGGGGCCCTGAAGTTCACCTTTCTGCTCTCAGGGGTCTAACGTGATGGAAGAACAGGACCTGCGGGACATCGGCATCAGCGACCCACAGCACCGGCGGAAGCTGCTCCAGGCCGCACGTTCCCTGCCCAAGGTGAACATCGCCGGCCCCGTAGCCTCAGCCGTGTGGAGTCAGGGCTACCTCCCTAGCACCACCTGTATCAAGAGCGGAAGGAGCAGGGCTCGGCACATGCACACCACGTGGGGCCTCCACCCCTCACCCTGGGAGCTCCTGAGGGACCACACAGATCTGTTTGCTTCCTCAGTCCGCCCCAGGCCCTTGGAGAGCCAGGAGAGCCCTCGGGCAGGGAGCAGCTCCTCGGGGGTCATGAGGAGGTTTGGTGGTCTGCCCTGCTTGGGAGCCTGCTACCCACTAGCTTGGCCTTTCACCCAGAGCCCCCTTTAGGGTCTCTCCTGGCTCCCTGGAGCCCAAGCCAGCCTACACTGGGCCCCTCCCCAGGTGGGCTTGAGGGAGGTACCATCTTCCCTGGGGAGCCAGGAGCTAATGGGCCCAAGCCTCTCCCCTGCACCTGTGCTGGTGCTGAGTCCATTGGCCCCGTCCCTTCTACCTGGCCAGAGTTTGGGAGGTGCCCGCTCTGTGGGCACACACAATTCTCTTGTCCCGCCAGGCCCATGACCTCAACAGAGTTCAGGGCGGAGGCATTCTGCAGACCCTCCTCCCCTCCTCCGCTCACCTGCTAGGGTCGTCTTCCCGCACTGTCAGAGCCCCAGTGGCTACCGCCTTCCCCGTGGACCAGTGAGTGATAGGAAGGACTGTGCAAGGAGAGGCACTCAAATGTGCTGAGGACCCCAGGCACCCAGGGCCCCCTTGGCCACAGTCTGTGTGAGCTGGCCTGGGTCCATGGTGCTTGGGTCCCTCTCCTGTGACTGCTGAGATGTCAGTTTCACCTCCCTCCTGGCCCTGTAGGTGAAAGCTTTGGGCTATGACGGGAACAGCCCCCCTTCGGTGCCCTCCTGGCTGGACTCCCTGGGGCTGCAGGACTATGTCCATTCCTTCCTGTCAAGTGGTTACAGCTCCATTGACACCGTGAAGAACCTCTGGGAGCTGGAGCTCGTCAACGTGAGTAGCCCCTGCCTGGCCCAGCAGGAGAGCGCTGGGGGCTGGAGCGGACTGTGGGTGAGTGGGCCACCTGACCCTCCTCGCTCCTCATCACGCAGGTCCTGAAGGTCCAGCTGCTCGGCCATCGCAAGCGCATCATCGCCTCCCTCGCAGACAGGCCATACGAAGAGCCACCGCAGAAGCCCCCCAGGTTCTCCCAGCTGAGGGTGAGTCGAGGAGGGACGGGAAGGATGTTTCTCCTCTGTATTTGTAGGAATTCCATAGAATTCTTTAGCATTCTTCAGAGACCACTGTAGTGTAGGAGAAAGCAGTTCCAACAAGAGAGAAGCACAGGAGAGGGGCTTTAGAGAAGTTCCCCGCCACCCGTTTCTGTTTGGGGATGGCCCATCAAACACTTAAAATTGGGGGGATAGTAGGAAAACAGCTGGCCATGCCTGGGCATTGAACTTGGCTCTGTGCCTGGGGACAGGGAGGGGCTGGGTGGCATGACACCTGAGACAGCCTGGAATTCAAAAGGCTGGGACTCACAGCCTTCTGGGCACCCCCAACATCTGAGTTCAAATTCCCAGGCTAGGGTGACTAAGACAGCCTGCATTTTAAAAACCTCACTCATGATCCATTGCTCCTGCCAGTAATTCCTGACTGCAGAAATGGGCTAGACTCAGAGCCTGCAGCTGAGGGAGAGCTCTCCCCCAGCCCCAGGCCAAAATACGCATCGATGGAACAGCCACTCCTGGAGCCCTGAGCACTGGGCCCGCCCCAACAGGGCTCACCCCATTGAACCCTCAGGGGCTTGGTGAGGTGGTCCTATTCATCCTCTTCTTACAGATGAGGAAGTGGAGGCCCAGCCTTGCCCTGGGAACCAAACACACAACTGACATTCAAATGTAAACACTGAGGAGCCTGGTTTGTATTCTGTGGGGGACAGTGGCTTTTAGGGCTGGCAGAGCTGAATTTTTCTCAGGAGGATGCTTTGTTTGGTCATGTGCAGAGGCCTGCAGTGGATCAGGACAGAAGATTTAATCCTTTAGAAGTACAAACGCAGCTTCCCTGCCCTCTCTGGGGGCACTGGTGGGTGGTGGCTGCATGGTGCCACCTGTCTGACACCCCCATGGTGTTGGCCCCTTCATTCAGTCCCTGCTGCTCCTCCCGGTGCAGCTGCCTGCACCATCCTAACCAGGGGGCCGGCTGACACCTGTAGTCAGGCACTGGGCCAAGGGTTGCAAGTTCCACATGGATTTCTCCCTCCACAGTGCCAAGATTTGCTCTCCCAGACGTCATCCCCGCTGAGCCAGAATGATTCCTGTACCGGGCGGTCAGCAGACCTGCTGCTACCTCCAGGGGACACAGGCAGGAGGCGTCATGACAGTCTCCATGACCCCTCGGCACCCTCCCGAGCAGAGCGCTTCAGGATCCAGGTGGGCATGGGGTGGGGGACAGGTTGGGGGGAGCTGCGGCCAGGATCCACTTCATCCCACTGGGTGGGACAGGGCCTTCCAGAACCACCTGCTGCCCCATACCCAAGACCAGTTGGGCTGGCATCAAGGTCAAGAGCACCAGCCTGCTCTGCTTGCCCCCACCCAGCTGCCTTGTCTAAGGCCCACCCTGCCTCCATGGTGCCAAGCTCTGGTGCAAAACTCACTCCTACGGCCTGCATTTCCCTCCCTTAGCTTCAGATCCCCTGTCCTCTGTAGCCTCCGGTGTCCTGTGCTGCAGTCCCCTGCTGGCCCCAGAGCCCTCCGCTCTCTCCTGGCCTCTCTGAGCGCCTTCTTGGCCCCTTCCTTCCCTGCTGTTCCCCAGAACTGCTTTTTCTGCAGCCTCACCTCTGCAGCATTGTCTTCCTCCTGCCCAGCAAAACCCCAGCCAGACCAGACTGTTCTTCCCATTCCCGTTCTCTGCCTGCAGCCTCCTGGGGGGCACCGCTGGAGACCCCACCTCCGCTCCTGGTGCCTGCCCTAGCCCTGGCTGAGGTGGGCCCATCTCACATTCCTGGCTCACCCTCTCAGGGCATCGTTTCCAGGGGGCCTGGATTTACCCCAGACCTGCCTGTCCTGCCTCCCGCCAAAGGACCCTGGCTTTGTCCTTGTCTTCTTGGCCTGTCAGACAGAGGATTGGCAGGTGTCCCTCAGGCCCCTCCATGTGAACTTCAGTTTCACCCCTGCCTGTTTCTCTGACTCTCACTTCTCACTTTGGCTCCGGGGACTTCCCTTCCCTTTCCACAGGCACAGCCGGGAATTTTAAAGGATTTTAAAACACATCATCCAGCGGTCCCAGTTGCCGTTGAGAGGCTCTTTGCGTACTACTGGGAAGGGAGGGCTTCGTGTTTCCTGAATCTTTTCCACCAGTGCCCGGATAGGGACCCATCATCTCTCACCTGGACCACAGTGGCCTCCCCCACCCCCCAGCTGCTGCCCAAAGGACCCATTTGAAATGCATTCCAAGGCATGGGAGCTTCACTTGCTTCCTGGCTGTGAGGATCCCTCCCAGGCCCTGGACTGGGCCCCAGGGCATCCCAGGGTCTCATGCCTGCTCTCACCTTTGGTCTTTGTGTAGAACAGCCCGGCAGCCTGTGCCCCCCACAGACCCTGCCATCTCCTTTCTGGTCATTTCCTATCTCCTTTGAGACTCATCTGTTCTCAGGAGGTCTGGGTCCCTGCTGCGCCTCTGCTGTCGCTTGCACCTCCCCCACTCCACCCGCAGTATGTTTGAATTGCTGGTCTCCCCTGGCCCTCTCCACTTGACCCTTGAACTTGCTAAGGTCACTGGCATCTTCCCTTTTGGGTGTGCTGGAGCCAGGCAGTGAGCCTGTGCGCTCCTCTGGAGCAAGGAGCAGGTGTCTGACTGTGCGTTCTGCAGGAGGAGCACCGAGAGGCCAAGCTGACCCTGCGGCCCCCCAGCCTGGCAGCCCCCTACGCCCCAGTGCAGAGTTGGCAACACCAGCCAGAGAAACTCATCTTCGAGTCCTGCGGTTACGAAGCCAATGTGAGTTGCTCCCGCCCTCCGCCCTCCCAGGAGGGCCGGCCTCCCTGCTCCCTGCCCCTTCTCAGCCAGGCACAGGCACCTGCAGCCCTGAGTCCCAGGAGGGACTCCACAAAGCCAGGCCTAGGTTGAGCACTGTTCTCCACTCTTCAGCCACTCTTGGCAGCTAAGGGGAAGGCATGGAGGTATCTGGTCCTTTAGCCAGAGAGTTGAATAGAGGGCCTCTCCAGCTGGGGCAAGAGAGGGGTTGGGAGGGGTAACCACTTGATTGTGGGACAGTCCCAAATTGGTTGGATCACCCCTGCATGGAAATGCAGGACTTCCTAAGCCTAGTCACTGCTCGCCCCCACAGTACCTGGGCTCCATGCTGATCAAAGATCTTCGAGGGACAGAATCCACACAGGACGCCTGTGCAAAGATGCGGGTAGGGTGCCTGTGTGGAGTGGGCAGGAGGTTGTATGGGGTGGGAGGGTGTCTTTGCGGAGTGGGGTGTCTGTGCAGGTTGGGGGGTTGCCTGTGCAGGGTGGGGCATTGCCTGTGTGGGCCGGGGTGGTATCAGCGGGGTACGGGGTACCTGTGCAGGGTTTGGGGGTTATCTGCAGGGTGAAAGGTTACTATGCAGGGCGGGGAGTGCCTGTGTGGGGCGAGGGGTGCCTGCACAGGGCCAGGTGTGCCTGTGCTGGGCTGGGGGGCATCTGCGGGGCAGGGTGTGTCTGTGTGGGCTGGAGGGTGCCATGGGACTGGCCAGGACAGAAGGCAGCAATGGGGGTGGCAGCTGCAGTTGGCTAGGCCCTGCAGTGCTTCGTAAGGACGGGAGGGAAGCTGGGACCTATGGAATCCCAGGAGGCTTAGTCCTGAGAAGGGGCATTGATAGGGCCCCCCCTTGTTTCCTGTAGAAATCCACCGAGCACATGAAGAAGATCCCCACCATTATCCTGTCCATCACATACAAAGGTGTCAAGTTCATCGATGCCTCCAACAAGGTGTGCTGCTTACAGGGACTCTTGGCGGGAGTGGGACCCATGTCCCCATCAGAGCCACAGGGCTCCAGGGCAAGCAACCCAGCTGCCCTCTCTCATCCCTTATCTCTCTAGAGGGTCCCCAACCCTCTCTTATTACTTCCTACTTCACCACCTCACCAAGAGGCGTGTCTCTCATCTGCTGGCCTGAGTGCCTACTGTCAGCCCCGTCCCCACCCTAGTGATAACGGCTCTTAGCCTCTCGACCTGGGCTCTGCTGGCCACGCTCCTGCTCACAGGTCTTCACAGGTCGGATTCCCTCTGTGAGCAAAAGACTCCCTGTGCGCCACTGTGTGGAATCCCAGCTTCCTAACACCCTTCCCACTTTGCCCCCATTCTGGGAGGTGGGAGAGGCTGGGAAGAGCTCGTGGTTGGGTGTGAACATTTTACTGTCTTAGTTGCTATGGTCAAGGGTGGAGACCCCAAACTGAAATTGTGCAAGGTTAGACACCATCCCCCACCCTGACTAGAAAACAAAATGAGAAGAAGGGAGTTTGGCTGACACTGCAGGCTGGGAGGGAGAACAGTGACAATGGCAAAAGGCTGGGGCGGGGGGTGCCAGATGCATGTGAGCCTGAGAATTCCAGAACACGGCTTTCCCCAACAGAATGTCATCGCAGAGCATGAGATCCGGAACATTTCCTGTGCCGCCCAGGACCCAGAGGACCTCTGTACCTTTGCCTACATCACCAAGGACCTGCAGACCAGCCACCACTATTGCCATGTGTTCAGCACGGTGGATGTGGTGGGTGGGGTCCTGGGGACGGGCAGAGTGGGCTTGGGTGGCGGCCCTGAGGCGTCCAGCCCCATCACAGGGTACAGATGTGGCACTGTCCTGGCCCTGACTGGTGCCTGGCAAATGTTTGGTTTATGAGTGGGGCACTAGGGACAAGGGGTTTCCAGCATTTTTTTTTTTTTTTAAGAGATGGAGTCTCACTGTGTTGCCCAGGCTGGCCTTGAACTCCTGGGCTCAGGCAGGTTACCCACCTCAGCTTCCCACGTGACTGGATTGTAGGTGGGAGCCACCGTGCCTGCCTTTCCAGCTTTTAGGCGAGTGTTTCTTAGGTCAGACAAGGCCTTTGTCTCCCCCGGCTCCCTGCCCTCGCCCTCCAACCTCTGGCTTGGCCGCCTCCCAGAAACCCCCTGTACTCCCCTCTTAGGGGCAGCGGTGCCCTCTTTGGCAGATTTTCTTCCCTCAAATTCTTGCTGAGGCTTGGCTCTGGGTGCTGCTGGGCTGAGGAGAGTTCATCCTCACACAGCTGCCCACAGGGAGCAGACCAGAAATGACAGCCCACTTGGCAGGGGTTCCCTCTAACCTGCGACAAAGCCTGGGAGTGGCCCCAGGCTACCTCCTCATCCCAGGAGGAAGTCAGAGGGGTCAGGTCCCTGCCGCCCTGAGGGACAGCAGCTAGTTCCAGGATCTCTGTGGCTCCGGGAACACAGGCAGCTCTGGGCATCCCCACACCCCCGCGACCTCATCCACAAGTGAAGGTTAGAGGGCTCCAGGCTGTGTGAGCTTGGAAACATCACATCTGCCTGTTTCCTCATCTGTCTGGAGGGGAATATAATGTGAACCACCTCAGGGGCCGCTGCGAGATGGAGGAGGTGGCCCACAGGGCACACAGAGAGTGCCATTCACCTGTTGCTGCCTTTTCCCACATGTACTCAGTTCCGCCACATATCTTCTCCTAAAACTTGGTGTGCTGGGTAAAATCACACAATAAAAAACCACAGGGTTTATGGGGAAGTGGAGTTAGGGGCACAGCACTCACAAACTTTGTCGGTGATACATTAAAAGCACCAGCACCACTTATTCATATTAATGGTTAAGAAATACTCAAGTACTGCCACAGGCATGGCCCCTGCCTGGGCTTACAGGGGTGTACACCTGCCCTCCCTGAAGCCCAGTTCCTGGCCACGTCCTGTGTAGAGGAGGGAGGACCGCTGGGACTTAGGAAGAATAAAAAAAGGGAAAGGGCAGTAAACAGGGAGGAGCGCTCCCAGGTGGACTTAGAGGGGCACACAGGGTCCCTGCCAGGAAGGGCATATCCAGTGTGAAGCTATCGTACCAGCTGTGATGGGGGCTTGGTTCAGCTGGCAGCAGGTTTTGCATTTACCTGTTGTTTCTATCAGACGAAATCTTGCAGAAGGAAATAGTGTGTTATGATCAAATTGTGTCTTTTTGAAACCAGTGTTCTCTTCTTACCCCAGATGCCGCCTGTGTGCTCAGGGTGAGGGTGAGGACAGGGCAGGAGTGGGTGAATCGGCTCCCGAACCAGACGCTTAAGTGGTGATCTGCTTCCTCCCAGAACCTGACCTACGAGATCATCCTGACGCTGGGGCAGGCCTTTGAGGTGGCCTATCAGTTGGCCCTGCAGGCCCAGAAGTCCAGGCCGACGGGCGCCTCTGCAGCTGAGATGATGGAAACAAAATCTTCCAAACCGGTGCCTAAGCCTCGGGTCGGCGTGAGGAAATCCGCAGTACGTGGGTCCCACTGGCCAAGAACCCCCTCTTCCTGGCCCCAGGGATTCAAGGGCTTGGGGTGGCCAGCACGACAAGGGTCTTCTGGCACTTCCAGAAAGCTAGCCCCCCAGGGAAATGACCCTCTTAATTGCCCCCCACCCCGACAGGTCTTCCTGGGCTCCCCCAAGGGCAAGGCCATCAGGGGGCTGCAGAGAGCGGCCAGCAGGCAGCCCCCAGTAACTGCACCATCCCTGTGTGTGTCTGCTTTGCTCTGCACCCCAGGTGCCGCTGCCCCCCGATAGTCGCTGTTACTGTCACACCTGCTCCACCCACCGTCCTTCCTACCTACCGCTGCGGTCTGTTAGTCCTGGAGTCAAGGTCTTTACGCCTCCTGCTGTCTTATGTGTCAGTCTCCCTGAAGTGACCGTGAGCGCTGTCAGCCTCTGGTGGCCTCTCCCTCTGCCTGTGTGACATTCTTTCCCCTCTTCCTGAGATGCCTTCTGCCTGTCCTGTGTGTGCTTCAGCCCTCTCTGTTTTTCTGCTGTGTGTCCTCTCTCCAGAGGTCTGGGGTGACTATGGTGGTCTTGCCTTGGGATGAGCTCTCCGGTCCTAGCAGAGGGACCTGAGGCTTGGCATTTCAAAGCCCCACATCCCCTTCCTGCCCAATGTGAGTGGGTTTGGGGCTTAGAGCAGGAGGTCTGGGTAGGACAGGGGTCCTTTAACTGAGCAATCCCAAGAAATCCCTGAGAGAAGTTGTGCCTGGGGATGGCTCTCCCCAAGATGCTCTGGGAGGGGCCTTCTCTTTGGAGGAGAATAAGGGCTGCCCCTCCCAGCACAGGGGTCACAGCCCAGCCGGGGGGCGGGGGGGGGCGGCTTCGGGGCCTGCTGCCTTTGGCCCTGGCACAGAGCTCCCTCTGACTCTTGACCGCTTCCTTGTTTGGCAGCTGGAACCACCCGATATGGACCAAGATGCCCAATCCCATGCCAGTGTCTCCTGGGTTGTGGACCCCAAACCAGACTCTAAGCGGAGCCTCAGCACCAAGTATGAGACCACTATCTTCTAAAACAACCCACTCCCTGTCTCCACTAGTCTCACTGTGCCTTTGCCATCCGATCTTTCTGCTGTCCTCAACTCTCTCCTTCCAGCTGCTGACGCCACGGCCCCACCTGCACTGGGACCGGCTCCTCCCGGGCGGGCAGCAGCTTAGACGCTGTACCCTCGCAGCTCTCGCACCTACCACCACTGAACACTGTGAATTCTCCCCCTTGGGCTGAGGACAGCTTGGGGGGGTGAGTTGCCTTTGAGGTGGGCACCAAGAAGGCTCCAGGGGCCTGTTGCACCCCAGAAGCCTCCACAGGCAGGCACTGTGAACTCTGACGGGCAGGGTGGTCTCCAGAAGAATCCCAATGGCACTGATAGCTCCCTGGGGTTGGGCTGGGCTCTGTGCGGCGCCCTCCTTCTGTCTGCTGTACTGAGCCACAGCTGGGCACCGCTGCCAAGAGCTGACTGTCCTCACCTCTCCTGAAACAACCAACCACTGTGACCACCCAGTGCCAGAGTCCCCACCACTCTGCTCACAGCCGGCCTGCAGCCTCCCGCTGTCCTCCACTGCTCTGAGGTGCTGGCCTCACTCTCACGGCCAGGCCCTTGTGAGACCTTGAGCTCAGTGATGTGGCTTGACCAGGGACAGACTGCTTTCTGTCAGGGCCCAAGATAATGCGCCAGACCCTTGGGCCTGTGCTGACTGCCCCGCTTGGGGCTCTGGGTATCTGAACACTCACAGGCTGGCTCACACAGCAGGTGCCTCAGTCCTGATGAGTCTTCCCCTCTAAGGAGCGAGGTGGCACGTGTGTGGGTGGCCCCTCGTATCTTCGCTACGGAGTCTCAAGGCCTGGAAACCTTGGGCCTGGCTCTGGAGTCTAGCCCACTGAGGAGGAAGGCCTTCCAAAGGACCAGCGAGGAGGCGGCCTGTGCCCTGCATGCACGGTGCACCTTCTTCCCTCACAGAACAGAGCCGCTGGAGGACGGGCCTACATAGAGTGGCCTCCATGTCCTCCATGAGTTTTCTGACATGCTCCACAGTGGGGGATCACAGATAGTCAGCGCCGTCCAGTGCACCCCTGACTGCCTCCCTCAGCCTCCTGACTCCTCCGAGAGGAGAGGCTGTCCCCTCACAGCAGCTCAGCAGCTGGGATGGTGGAGCTGAGTCTCTGAAGAGGCCCTGCATTCTCCAGTGTGGGCAAATCAGTTTGGATGGCAGGAGACAGGAAGGAAGCGGTGTTGTAGGCAGCCGTGCACACGTAACAGAGTCCACTAGGAAAGCCGGTCGGCCACGACAGTCAAACCCAAGTCGATAAATGGGGTGGGTCCTGCGTACCCGCCCATCCTTGTGCCTTCCTGAGCAGACTGGCTGAGCCAGAGGTGGCTGGGGGCTGCAGGCCGTGGGTGCTCTGAGCAGGTGTGGAGGGCACCTGGGGAGGCTGTGAGGGATCTTCTGTCCTGCTTTGTTTCCTTTCCATTTCCTCCACCATCTGCAGGCCCCATTGGTTAACCCTTTCCTCCCCCCATTGTTTGCTTCTGCCAAGCTGAGCCACAGAGGAACCACACTGTGCTGCGGAAACATAGACGTGGGTGCACAGGCTCCCACCACCGCTGCCACCGCCTCACCTGCAGCTTTGAAGACCCAGGCCTCACCTCCGCCTGCAGGACATCCTCTTGGCCACTTGGCCTGGGCCTGCCACCACCACGTCTTGCAGAGTGAGCCCTGCCTTGGCTGCGGAGAAGCACTCCAGGCCGCTAGCAGATGGGACTGGCATTCCAGAGGGTCAAGAAAGTGACTTGTTCAGAACACATTGTTTTTAATAGAAAAAAAAAAATCTTTTTATAAAATGAACTTTTAACACTTGGCTCAAACCTCTAGGTCATACTGCCAATCTTTAGACAAATGGCCATTGGGCAGAGGACAAGGGAGCTGAGGTTGGTTCAGAGGCCAGTCTGCACAGTCTCTGTCCTCAGGATGGGACTGGGTGGGTCTGAAGAGAAGGCGGTGGCCTGTGGGTGAGGGGACTAGAGCAGGCCCCGGCAGAATTGAGTAGAGTGAGTCTGCTTTTCAAACCCAACCAGGTCAGCTGCTGCTCTTTATGAACTGCCCAACTTCCTGTCCCCATCAGGGGCTGGACACAGGCTTCTCGCAAGAACACAGCCTTAAAGGCACCTGGGCAAAACAGAGGTCTCTGGTCTGTTTCTGGGGTTCCTGATGGGAAGGTTCAGTGACCAAATGAAGATGTGTGCAGTTTCTGGTGCTGGGAAGTCTTAGCCAGTGCCAGAGTGCCAGGCCTCTACCTGGCCTCTCACCTGTCAGTGACTGGAGGACTGCCCTGGGCTGGCCGGCCACAGGCTGGCTGGTGCTGTACTACCTGTAGTGTGTCAGAGAACAGGAAAAGCAGCTTTGTTTGGGGCATTAATATTTGGGGTAGGTCAGCTAAGGTTGCTACTTGCCAATATGTGATTTGTCTAATCAGCCTGTGTGACTGGGGCACATTCTGATTCTCTGAATTATTGGTTTGACAGTTACATGCTCGGCCACTGGGCTCATCCCTGGCCCCCGGTGTGGAAGAGGCTAAATAAGGTGACAGTGCATTTATGCTCCCCAGCATGGCCTTTGGGGCAGGCTGGCATCCTGATGTGCCACTGTTGCTTAAGCTTTCCCGCTGGCTCGCTTTGCTTTTAAAAGTAACTTGGGTTGCATTCTTCCCTCTGGACTAGAGTAGAAATGCAGGGGAACCCCCTGTGGGGTTGAGAGGCAAAGCTGGCTCAGTTGTGTGCCCAGTTCCTCCCCTGGGCACTTTAGCAGGCTCCGAGCTTTCCCGGCATGGGTCATTCTGGTCCCAGGATAAATAGTCCAGGCTTCAGCAACACTCCTTTCCCAGCAAAGGCTGTGAATTTAAATTCTTTGTTGGTGTGTATGTGCAGGCATTGCTCTCGGGCACATTCTCAACCTGTGTGGTTGGCCAGAAGTGGGACTGTGTCTCTGGCTGGCTTGAAGCCGGGCCTTGTGAGTTTCTGTCTGCTGAGCACTCAACAGAGTGGGGCCTGGGACCCATCTCCCTCTGCAGCAGAGGCAGACCTTCCTCCACTTCTCAGTACTAAATGAAGACCTCAACACCTTGCAGTTTTACTTCATTTCCTGCTCCTTTCAGGGGCTGTGAGGGTTCCCATGAGCTCATGCCGTACAGTACTCAGCCCCGACTTTCTTCCAGGGGTTGACCAGGAACCCTAAACCGTCCGGAGTAGACTGTGCTGCTGTGCGTATGGTGGCACCCCACTCTTCCTCCTGAGGGGCCAGGCCATGTCTAAGTGGCCTCTGTCAGGGGTGGTAGGTCCGAAAGAAACTGCAGACACTACGATGCGCTCCTCAAGCTGTCTTTTGTGCTTAGATCATCCATAGGTGTTTTTTCCGCTTGAAGCTGCTATATCTTTATTTATTCAGGGTATTTTCATATTGGAAGCCTTGGTTAGTCTGCTCTGGCTCTGGGTTTTGTTTAGAGATTGGTTTATTTCTGAACATTCAAGAAAGGAGAATGACTGGGTCCTCCCTCGTTCCCTCCCTCCCTCCCTCCTTTCCTTCCTCCCTTCCTTCCCTTTCCTCCCTTCTTTTCCTTCCTTCCTTCCTTCCTTCTCCTCTGGGGCCGGTAGTCTCCCTTTCTTAGAAAGGTTATTGTAACTTTAAGGACAGGCTTCAAGTGGGAAGGTCCCTGCTTTTGCACTTCTCCCAGTGCAGGTCACACGAGGGGCAGACCCTGTCGCTGCATTTCTGAACTGTGAAGGAGCCCATTCAGGTGGGAGACTTCAGATGGGCTCAGTACCTGTCCCAGCCACAGGCTCCTTGTCCACCTCTTCTCCCCTGCCCACCAGCTGCTGCTCGCATAGGACCTTCCCGACAGGCTGTGCGTGTACAGCGCTCTGCGTCCCTCCTGGGCCCTCCAGCGGCAGACACTGGTGGGAGTTCCAGAGATGCTCGGGTCTGAGCAGGCAGCAGGCAGAGCTGCAGTCATCGAGACGTTAGAAACCAGTCTGAACGTGGTCTGTCTTTGAGATGCCCAGGCTGGCAGAAAGCAGCTCACAAGTGTTGTTGCTCATGGCGCGGCAATGGACTGAATTGTAATAAAAATGTTTGTTATTTAATCTTTGCCTCTGTATTTTGATACTTGAATGACTTCCCCTTTTGTTTTACTGTACATATAATTGTTAATCTGTCTGATTTTGTCTGAATTATAAACATTTTGAGGTACCAAACATAACCAATCTGTGCAACAACATAGACTGACCTCACTACCCAAGAGAGAGTGTAAATATTTCTGGGCTTCCAGCTTTGGTTTTGTTATTTTCATAACTGTACAACTTAGAACAGACTGAATTAATAAATGAGAAGCAACATGAACCCAGCCTTATTCTTCCGAGTCTTTGAATTGGAAAGCGTCGATTGTTTTGTGGCAGAGGCACAGGCACACGCAAGACGCAGGCTCAGGGTCGGTGATTCGCGTCCTGCGCTGCTGGGCTGAGATGACAGCTTGGCTGTTCGGCTTTGTATGTCGCACTCTCTAACAGTACAGATGCCCTGTGAGGTGCAAGAGGCCACGATTCACCTTCCCTCCTGAAGAACATCGTGCTGTGAACACCACGCCAGGGCCCATTCTATTACTGCTGCAGATGCGTCTCTCCTACATCCCGGGCTCGGCTTGTCCACCCACAGACATGATTTGAATGTCTGCCTCCCGGGCAGCCTGGGGGATCTAGAGCTGTGAAGGAAAGTGGTCTCCTTTCCGGAACTTGCTTGGATTGCGGAGGTCAAGTTTTAGACATAAACCAGCCCGAAGCCATGCTGTGGCAAGGATGCAGAGGCAGAGTGTACCCAGAGGGCTGGTGGCAGGGAGAGGATGGAGGGGGCGCTGAGCTGTACTGAAAGGCGAGAATTTGGGAGGGCACAAGCAGTCCTAGCGGCCCCTTCATTGATGGAATACCTGTGTTCCCGCTCTACTCACTTCCCAGACAACTGTCTCATTAGCCCCACTCTATTATCACCTCTATTCATACAGTAGGGCCCAGGGCCAGCGGAGGGACCTGAGCCCCATCTGGTCCAGTGGCTCCAGCTGCCAGAGCCGCTGCTCCTGGACCTGCTTCAACCCCGGCTGCCCAGCACTGAATGCTTTTATACCTGAATTTCTGTGGAGCCTTCCATTTCTTAAAAGGGCCTTAAAGAAAATTACTTATGTAGTTCAGTACCCAGTTTTATTTGTAAAGAAAACAAGGTCCAGACATGGGAAATGATTTTCTCCTAGCCAGCCTACTAGTGAATGGCAGAGAGGGAGCCAAATCCCAGGCTGTTACTCCCAATTAGGGCTTTGTAGGCCCCACTACACTCGGTTGGAAAAGTCTACTGAGGCCCAGTGTGGGAGGGCCTAACATTCCAGACTGAGGGGTTCTTCATCCCTATATCTCTTGGCTTCCTGGCTATGGCACTCTTTCCTTAGCAGAAGAAACCTGACAGCCAGAAGAGAAAGGCTGGGTCATAACTGGTTGTTAGCAGGGCACCAGGAAACATCGCCACTATCATCATTTCTTCTGGTGCCACTTTACATGTTCTGCCTCTGTGTGAGGCAGAATCCCCGGCCTCTTCCACTCACTGCTCTCTCCCACTTCAGGGGCTCATTTGTCGCACTCTTCCACGTCCCCATGGGCCTCCCCTTCACAGATGCTCAGGCTCCCCGGCAGCTGGGGCGTTACTATTGAAGATTGGCATAGATCACCCCTCAGCAATGAATGACCTGGCCATGGAGGAGGAAGAACTTTCAAGCTGGAGCACTTTCCAAGGCAGCTCAAAACACTCTCTAGTCAGTCATGGCCACCCCGGGCTTACTGAACCTAGAGGGTATCCAAGTCCCAGACAGGGACAGGCTGACTGGATAAGTGTGTCATACTGTCCAGCCTGGAGCTCACACTGTACCCGCTGTCAGCAACTAACAACCATGGAAAGCTAAGGTTTGAACCGTCCCTTCCCCCATGCAGCCTCTAGGACTTTGAGACCACTTTTTTCAGGACTCAGCTGTGAGGAACACTATTATAAACAACCATTTACCAAATAGAATTTTCCTAACACCATAAAACGTTTATTACTCAGTAAACGGAGCTGGGACAATTGAGTAGCCAAGGGGGAGGGAGCGCAGGGAGATTCCTGTTCCTACTTACCCCAGAAGAAATTCCAGACGGCTCACATATTTAAATGTAAAAAAAAACAACTCAAAGCTAGAGGAAAAGGGAGGTTTCTTTTCATAAGCTTGGTATGAGAAAGGCCTTTCCAAACATGTTATAAAACTCTGAGTCCTTTTTTTAAAAAGGATTAATATATTTGACTATATAAAAAGCAAACATTTCTGTATAGCAAAATGCACCCTTAAGAAAAAAATAATTGAAAACTAACGTGTGCACCACATGTAACAAGGACAACCTGGCAATAGCTATCAAAAGTAAACTAACGCCTGTGTCTCGGAAGGTCAGTAGATGCTCTTTTCCCTGTCTTCCAAGTACAATTCAAACCCCCAGTGGAAACATCACTGGGCACAGACAAAGCCTTTTCTTTCCAGCCAGAGGACCAGGAAAGGAGCAACCTGGCAAGACAGAAAATTTAGACAGTAAATAACTGCTCTACTCCAGACAAGCACCACAGAAAAAATGGGGTCCCACGCAGACCGGCAAAGGCCCTGACTTCTGCCCTCACAAAGCTATATAGAGGCGCCCAGCAATCTCACGTGTGGTGTCAGAGGGGCCTAGTGGGAGGCAGAACGTTCGACAGCACCCAGGGGTTTCGATGCTGTTCCCGCCTTGGAGCCAGTGGAAACTACAGGGACAGCCGGGAGCCCCACTGCACCCCAGCAGTAACAGGCAACCCCCCACCTCAGGTGTCAGTGGAGGCCAAGTGGGGAAGCTGGACTTCAACCCCAACCTGGCAGTAACATGATATTTCCACTTCCCTTGCTAGAGTGGTGTCAAAGTCAGTTAAAAGAGGTTTAAATAAGAATGAAAAACAGAAATGTCAAAGTTTCAACAGAAAATCACTTGTCGCCAGAAAAACCTCAATCTGAACTTAAAAGGCTATCAATAGATATCAACACTTAGCCAGGCGTGGTGGCACACGAATGTAGTCCCAGCTACTGCCCGAGGCAGGAGAATGGCTTGAGCCTGGGAGGCGGAGGTTGCAGCGAGCGGAGATTGCGCCATTGCACTCCAGCCTGGGTGACAGAGTCTCGCTCTGTCTCAAAAAAAAAAAAAAAAGATATCAACGCCAAGATGGCACAGATACTAGAATTATCTGACAAATATTTTAAAGCAGCCATGATAAAAATGTTTCAACAAGTAATTATAAACACACTTGAAGCAAATGAAAAAATCTGAGCAAAGAAATGAAAAAATATAAAGAACCTATTGGACATTTTAGAACCAAAAAAATACAATAACCAAAACAAAAAGCTCAGTGGATGGGCTTAAGAGTAGAGTAGAAGAGAAAGGAAAGAATGCACCAAAAACTGGGAAACAGAACAATAGAAATTATCCAATCTGAACAACAGAGAGAAAACAGATTGAAAAAAAATGAACAGCGTCTTGGAGACCTGTGTGATCGTAAGAAAAGATCTAACGTTTGTGTCAACAGAGGGAAAAAGAGGGAGGCTGAGGAAACACTCCAGGTCAGGTACGGTGGTTCACACCTGAAATCTAACACTTCGGAAGGCTGAGGTGGGAACTGCTTGAGTCGAAGAGCTCAAGACCAGCCTGGGCAACATAGTATGACCCTATGTCTACAAAAAATTTTAAAATTAGCTGGGTGCAGTGGTGTGTCCTAGCTACTCAGGCCTGTAGTCCTAGCTACTCAGGAGGCTGGGGTGGTAGAATTGCCTAAGCCCAGGAGGTCCAGGCTACAGTGACCTTTGATTGCACCACCACACTCCAGCCTAGGCAACAGACTGAGACCCCCATCTGAAAAAAAGAAACACTAAAAAAAATAATGTCTTCCAATATTTGGCAACAAACATAAACCTTTGTATTCAAGAAGCCAAGCAAATTCCAAACCAGATAAAATCTGCGAAAGTGGTTAGAATTAAAACAGTCACTTCTGGCCAGGCACAGTGACTCACACCCGTAATCCCAGCACTTTGGGAGGCTGAGGCAGGTGGATCATTTGAGGTCAGGAGTTCGAGACCAGCCTGGCCAATGTGATAAAACCCTGTCTCTACTTAAAAATAAAAATAAAAAATGAGCCAGTCATGGTGGTGTGCACCTATAATCCCAGCTACTCAGGAGGCTGAGGCAGGATAATTGCTCGAACCTGGGAGGGGGAGGTTGCAGTGAGCCAAGATCACGCCACTGCACTCCAGCCTGGGTGACAGATAGAGGGAGACTCCGCCTCAAAAAAAAGAAAAAAAAAAAAAAAGAGCTGGAGAGAGAGTTCTCATGCATATATATCTGATAACAAAAACTATTACAAAAGACAACAAACTTGCAAAAACCACAACCTTGCACGAAGACCATCACCACCTTACAGCAAAAAAATATATCTGCCAGGAAATCTGCTCAGCGACCTTCCAACCCCAAACTGGCAGCACCACTATTACTGATCCTTGTAGCGAAGGATAATTATCTCAAAACGATTATGTAATCCTCCTCATTTTTCCTTTAAACCTTCATCTTCCTTCAAGTCCCTGAATATGCACATCATTTACTGTCTCACATGTATTCTCATTACAATACCTTATTACCAAATATCATTTTTTTAGAGGGCCTCACGCCATTTGTTATTTAGGCTGACATAAATGGTGTCAGAAGTGGCACGAGGCAAGCTCACTTGAGAAGAATCAGCGGCCCCGGAAACTGAATGTGGTACTGACCTTGTCCTTTGTGCTCTCTGTCTTCATGAGTTGCCTTTTCCAGCCTGGTGAATCTCCAGTAGGATTTTCAGACTCCCTCTCTTTGGTGAAATGTTTTTGACTTTATAGAGGATTTGTTTCTGTTACAAGTCTGCTACCTCACTCCTGGGATGGTAAACTTTTGTCTTTTCTGGAAAGTCCCTTCTGCTATCAGGACAAGTGCCCTTCCAGTGTGAGTGCTCTAGTTTCTACATAATCTATATCCCATCTGTGAGGCAAGTCTTTTCTGGAGAAGGTACTTTTGGTTCTCCCTACATTCCTAATTTAATAGTTTGTTTAATCTGCACACCTGGGTTAAAAGTATTGTGAACACTAATTTTGGTCTCATTTTGGATCAGTTAGGCATGTCTGTAAATGATTTGCCCCCTTTCCTTTGCTGACTTCTAGAAATTCTCCGAGAGCAAAAAATAAACATTCCAAATGGCAGATACTAGTGGATGACTAATTAAAAGCCATGAGGACAGTT